GGTGTAGAGATGATGGATGGATGGATGTTCAAAGTGTGTGAAAAAAGTAGCGGCTTATAGTCCGGAATTTACGGTATATAAAAATTCATCTCCTGTAAGATTGTGACGAAGGCGTGAATTAGCTATAGAGACCCAAACAGTTCTTGTATCAGGCTGTAAACACCTTTATTTCTGGTTTGACACTTTAACATGGAGATCTGTGGAGATTGACTCGCCTCTGGAGGCAGCCCCTAGTGTACATTTGAGGAACTGCAGTTTTTGGTAATTGTGTCGGCTTCATATTTTAGCATATCAACAGTCAACAAACAGGGAAAAATTTTGGGTTTCAAACGGGACATTTAAAAAAAAGAAAAAAAGATTGTATTCAACGTACTAAAGTCACTTAATGTGAAATTACATCTTCAAAGAGCAACTTCAACTTCAGTGACAGTTTAGACTACAGCTGCTCTGTTCAGATGGGATGCAGACGTGTTGCGCAAATATTGACCCAACTGTCAAAAATGAATCCTGTTTAAGGAGGTATCCCTCACATTTTGATTTCATTGAAATAAATGCAGCCATAGTGCGTTGGTTTCACTTCAGAAAGACTGCTTTCAGTGAGGCGACAACACAAACAGAAACAGTCCCACCGACACCCTTTAGAAAACCTTAAAGCTCCTCCTCTTCCTGTCTTATCAGCCGGTTTTCCCCACTCCTCTGATTCCCTGTACAGAACCTCCTGTGTATGTGTTTAATTAGTTTTACTCACCACGCTGCCACTGACCTCAAAATGCTGCACCAGGAAGAAGACGTAGTCGCCGTTCATCAGACCCTGACGCTCGGCCTCCAGCAGCAGAGCCATGGCGTCGTCCCTGTTGGTCAGCACCACGATAACTGCAGGACAAAGCGCCTGTATGGGTCAGAAGGTGTTGCAGTCGCCGCAAAGCGCCTGCAGAAACTCTGCTCTTACCTCTGGCCACCGTGGCGATGAGCTTCACGTTCTGGTGGACCTGCTGAGGGTCGCTGGTGTCGAACTTCACGGCAGCGTTCAGCTTGAACTTGGCTCTCAGCGGATCCTCCACCGTTTTCCACAAAGCGTCGACTTTGTCCCAAGTGTTTGACTCCAATCCGCTCCCGATCATGGCGACGTGAGTCCAGCCGAAGAACTCCAGGGTCTTCACCAGGACCTCGGCGCTCCTCTTGAGAGGAGGCACGATTTTGATGTAGGAGTCGTAGATCTCGCTGTTGTCCATTTTGAAAGACTGACCCACGAAGCCGAACATCGGGATGTTCCACGTGGACGCAATCAGGCCGGTGACCTGGAGGGCAGGAGTTACATGAAGTAGAGGTTCAAAACAATCCTAAAGAGTTGAGTTTGTCAGGACAGGACGGAGGAATTTAGAGGCGCTAACATTAGAAACAAAAGGCATAAATGGTGCAAATGGTGCAGAGCCTCAAAAACACAGGAGGTGATTTAATAAGGGATAAGAAAAGGATTTCTTTTTAAAAAACAGTAAAAGTTGTGTTTTCCTTCCACTTCCACCATAATTTAATACAGAAAAGAAACAAATTGGTCCATAAAAATCCAACGGAAGTGTTTAATGCTTAAAGTTTCCTCCAGACGCTTTAATGTGGCCCAACAATGTTAAAATTAAATCTACACTTTTGCTCCAACATACTGTGTTTTTCATCTAAATGTCATTAAAACTTTAAATCCACAACTGTCCTTGTGGATTCCAGTTATTGTAAAATACATAATGAATAAAATTCAATATTCATTTTTAAAATGTTTATGATTTATGGCATTAAAACTAAACTAAAAGATATTTCTGAGTTATTTTCTCCTTCTAGTCTTCTTCTCTCTCTCTCTCTCTCTATATATATATATATATATTTATTCTATACTTGTAGTCATGGTTGTTTTGTTTCCATGGAGGTGCAGGAATTTATGTTGCAGTGCAAAATTAGCAAAAACATACCAGGAACAAAAATTTGTTTGGAGTTCAGAGGGTTAAGACAGAAGGTTCAGATAAATGCAGACTGACGGTTAAATCAAAGCACAAGTACTTGAGTGAATGTAGTTTATTACTTTGCACCACTGCAACCCTGCAACATGCGCTCAATCGAGAAAATATGATCACTGTAATAAGAAAAGTGAAGTTTCCATAATCCATCAAAAGCCAGCTCCTTGTTAAAGCATCTTTAATTAATTACACAGTTGAGTCACGGCCTCTGAGGCTGACCTTTATAACCTTAATGCATGTTTTATTTACTGCAGCCTACTCTGTTAGATTGCTTCAGCTCTAGTTGGGACAAAAAGCAAACAAAAGCATCACTTATGAACTTGGCAGGACTCGTACCTCGGCTTCTTCTGGGCACGCCGGGCCGAACAGCGCCGACACGTTTTCCCTCCACACCTGCTGGATGAAGCCTCCCAGCGACTCTTTGGGCCGGCAGTCCGTGTCCCTGTACACAAAGTCCAGGCTGTAGTTCCCCAGCAGGGCAGGGTTGGTGTTCACCTTGTCCACGGCGATCTGCAGGGCCGAGCCCAGCCTCAAGGCGCTGAACGGGAATGACATGTTCCGCGGAGCCTGGAAGCCAATGAGCAGCTTGAGAGGCTGAGTGCCGTTATTATTGACGATGACGGCAGCAGCGGCGGCGGCGGCGGCGGCTGACACCAGAGTGAAGTGAAGCAGCAGCGTGAGGCTCATGCCAAAGCAGTGCAGCGCCCTCGGCATCGCTGGCAGCCTGCGAGTTGATGAAACAAGGGCTTAAATAGTGAAAGTCCCCAGTGATGCTGGACAGTTGGTTAGGGAGGAGGAAATGTAAATATGTGTGGAGGAGGAGGAGGAGGCACAGCGAAGAGGAGTCAGGCTTCTCCTCTGTGCCGTCTTTTTGCAGATCAGTTTGAAAGAAAGATGATGATTACATTGTTGGTTGTGATCAGATAAATAGGTGCCAAGACAGAAGCAAGCAGAGATGGATTCATGAATGGATGCAGCATAACTGACCTTCACTTAGACGTCAAGTCATTCCTGTGTCACCTCTTATTTCTAACGTGAACAATAGGTTATTAAAACAGACGCCCCAAAGTAGACAATCAGTGCAACCAGGGTGGAGAAAGTGTTCAGATCATTTACTAAAGTAAGAGGCATCATTACAATATAAAGTAATATTGTTCAGTTAGCATCTTATATGTGCAAATACATCCCCAAAAACTTTATTTGTTTGATCTTATAATACAAAATACTTTCAATATTGATCACACTTTTTGTTTCTAACTTCATACGATGATCAGAGTCTGAACCCCAAAACATGTCGGCAGCTTCAAGAGACATGTTTTTGTTTTTTAGTTGCCAAATTAGTAGCCGATTTTCAACCTTCTTATTGTCCTTGAACTAACTGTGTGGCGAGAGGTTGCATCAGGAAGATGAATAAAAATGTAATCAGGAGGTATAGAGCGGTCCATAATGCCACTAGTCAGGGCTGCGGTGTTCAGCCTCCGGAAATGATGCTGCAAACAATGAGTTATCGTCACAATTTAACTCTTAAAAACAGACGTGTGACTGCTTCAGACTTAGTTCAGGGCTTGTCGGTAGAAATCAGGGCTTTTGTGTTCATTGGCATGTCTTCATCGTGGCTCCACATGGAAATAAAATGCCAAAGGAATCGGAAAAAAGTTAGAAATAATGAAACGTTATATGGGAAGATCAACCAAAAATCTGTCAGAACAGGGCTGCAGTATGAACCGGTAGGTCCAGAACGATCCATAATGCCACTCATCAGGGCTGCAGGAAATAGAGTAACAGAATAGAATTACTTCATTAATCCTCAAGGGTTAATTTGGTTGTCACATCACAAGAGTAAGGTTACCACCACCATAGATACTGATAAATAAGAAAAATAAACACCAAGAAAATCTAAAATCCAAAATGTACAACAATATGTCTACGTAGAAAAGTCCTGTGTGAAGTGTTGTGCAAACAATGTGCAACACAACAAGAGTGAATGACGCCACAAACTGAGCTGCTTTCACAATTTGTGTGACAACTCAGACAGCGTGAAGGACGCTGAGTAACATCAGCTCAAGAAAAACATCCTTACATGCTCGGTGGCCAAAAAAAAACTACGACTAAACTTTGCTAGCACATGAAAAGAAGCCAGATAGAAGCAGGAGCGCATTCTTTCGTCAGATGAGACCAAGATATGTTTAGCTGGAGTCCATCGTCTTTAGCATTTAGCTGACCAGGACGACCGCAGTGACGTTCTGACGGTGAAGCACGGAGGAAGGACGTGAAGATATGGGGCTCTATAACAGAATAAGATCTCTCCAACATTTTCTCCGCTGAGGTTTGAGTCTAAAATAAAGGTGGACATTCAAAGTAACAGAAGAATGAAAGAGCAGAATGGTGAGAGTTGGGCAGACTTGCACTGATTTCCACTGTTGTTTTCAACACAGTAGATCATTCGCCCATAAACCATCCTGTTTTCATTAGAAGTAACACAATCCCTGTATAGATGTATTGAGCTCTGCTGCATACTGAACATTGACGTGTGCGACCTCGTCCACAGGAGGTCCACAAACCACAGCACTGAGTAAACATCATTAAAAATGCACACAATTAAAAAAAACAACAGGAAAAAAAACAATTAAAGGTTTAACATATATATAAAAAAACAATAAATAATACATGTTCCGCCTGAGGCATAAATCAATGTGTGTTTTCATGCTTGGTGTGTGTTCACAACCTCTGTAACCTCTGCTTATATGAAACTAACGACTGTTTAAAATTCCACCTGATAATTCATTTAAACCATCGAACTCTGCCTCGGTTTTTTTTTTATTATAAAGAAGCAGTCTGTTGCTCCTACTGATGTATTCTGCCACTATCCTTGTTAAATTACTAGAAAATGTTCTAAAAGCTGCTCTCTGATGGTCTCTGGTGCTGTTTTTTGGGCTTCGGTAGACATAAACATCATCTTTCTGATGGTAGGAACTCAGCTGAGGATTCAACACTGGTCCTGCTGCACCAGCTCAGGTTCGGTTGTTTTGTTCAGAGTTCACTTATTTGCTATTTGTGACCAAAAACGAACTTTTTGCAAAACATTTTGACTGAATTTTAGATGTTTCCAGACCAAAAATTTTCATATTTTTTAAGGGTTCAATATCTCCGGAAATTTAAAGCCCACAGCCGTGAAATTTAATGAGGACACAATCGTTTCCAACAAAATGAAAATATAATATAAATACAGCAGTTTGGATCTGCTGGACCCTATTCTGTCTGTGTTCTCACCAAAGGTCATGTCTGTTGGAGTTTATCTGGAGATAATGAAATCTTAAAACGGCTTCCCAAGTTAGACGCTTCTTGAAAGTAAAAATACAGAATTCCCAGGTGTGAAAACACACAAATGATCAAACTTGGGCCACATTTCTTCAACAGAACCTTGTTTTGTGACCAAAATAACAAAGATGAACTCGGAACCAAAAGTGAAATGGTGGAGCAACATCATTTTGGTTTGTTAAAATAGCAAAAAACTGGAACTTCGGCTCATAACACTTGTAATGCCTCCAGTTCTGCTGATGTTAGAGCCTCAAACGTTGGTGAAATGTTGACCAAGGACTGTAAAGGAAACATGGATCCATCCATATATATACACTTACAGGAACTTTCTGGGGACACAATACCAATCTGTTTTTTGAAATTCTTGCACTTTTAACTTTTATCAAGGGCCAGTAATTAAAATGTGGTCTCAACTGGAGCCATTCAGTCATTTGGATCAGCTGACAACTGTTCTGTCTGTGCTCTCACCAAGTGTCACGGCTGTTGGAGCTTTATTTCTGGAGATATTGAACTTTTAAAATGGGTTACCAAGTAAGATGCTTCTTGAAGCTAAAAATATGTTTTCAGGTCTGAAAATGTGAGATTGTCTTTGCTTTGTGACTCAAACAAAACCTTAAATGGTGGAGAAGCACTATTTCAAAAACTGGACTTGAGCTTATAATACTTGCAACGCATCAAATTCTACTGATGTTAGAGCCTCAAAAGTTGATGAAATGTCGACCAAATAAACAAACATGGACACATCCATATATATATATATAGATAGATACACTTAGAGGAACTTTCTGGGGTCCCACTTCCACACTTTGTTGTACTTGCTTCTATTTTCATGGGCCAAAACTTAATCAATGTGTTCTCTGCTGGAGCAATTTAACAACTTGGATCTTCTGGATAATATTGTCGTCTTCACCAAATCTCATCACGGTGGGAGTTTTATTTGTGGAGGTACTAAACCCTGAAAACAGATTTGAAGGTAGAAAAAAAAAGTTTTTAGGGATGAAAACACAAAAATTCCTGGATTTGAAAACATATGAGATTTTGAAAATGCAACCAAAGTATTCTTCTTTTTAAGTTATTTTTTGTGCCTTTATTTGATAGTGCAGTGAGAGAAGGACAGGAAAGTGGGGAAAGGATCATGAGCGGGATTTGAACTCATGACCTCCACATTGGGACTGTAGCCCTGTACACGGGGCGCCAGCTCAACCAGGTGAGCTATAGCGGCGCCCCAACCAACCCAAAATATCCTTAAATAATAAAAATTGGGAAACTTTCAGCAAAATCCAAGACACATTTCCTGGATTTTGTGTGAACCAGTACAGATCACAGATGACTGTTTTTACTCTTTGCACTTGTCAGAAGGAAGCTGAAGGATGACGTGAACTTAGTTACGCTTTTATCTACAAATGAACAATTAATTTTATTTCTCAACGCTGATCTGATGTCATAAAGACAGATTTGGTCTGAGATAAACCCTCGATTAGATCTGAACGAGCTCAGATCAGTAGATTCCAAAGGTGCCACGTTTATGTCCTGATCCACTTATCGCCCACATCCATAAATCCAGCGTCAAAGTTCACATGAACTCTGTGGCTGCATGCAAACACAGTGGGGAGGACGGAAAATTGAGGGAGTTTCATTAAAGCGACTGCAGCAGAAGGCAGGCCGGGCCTTGTCGAGCCGCTCACACCTGTGTGCGGTTTCAGCCGTTAATGACCGCAGGTGGGCAGGTTGCACATTAGTGGTGTTGCTGCCTTCAGCTGCCGTTTCTCCGGGGATCCCTGCTCAGCCTGCCGCTAATCCCACCAGGTAACCTCTCAGAGCTTCTCCTAATGAACCTTTTCCCCCCTGTCCAACCAAATCAGTCGAGCGCTAGGAGGTCAGCGTTTTCACGTCCACGGAGATAAAACGCAGAGTGCAGGATGCAAAGAAAAAAAATAAAGTTGGAAGCAAGAAAATGCACCATTCAACAAGCTGCACTGCACTTTAATTAAAAGGAATAAACGGTGGAGTCTTTTCTGATCACTTCAGGAATCCAACACAACCTCTCATGAGTCCAATTCAACCTTTAAGTTTTCATCTTTTGTCCCTTCAAGTTCCATTTTGGAAGACTTTGAACAGCCGATAAGCTTGTTGACCTTTAATCCGCCGCAGCATCTCGGATCCCTGCAGCAGTTTATTAATTGATCTGCAGAGCTGCTCCACAGAAACAAATTGCACAACACACACACACACACACACACACACACACACTCACACACACACACACACACTCACTGGGATATTTTGCTGGTATAAAAGCGGTTTTGACGCCTGTGTTGTCTTTTATCAGTGGAAGTGATGGTGTTCAAGGTTCAAAGGTTTGAAGTGTGTCCCAGTGTTTTTATGACTTCTGCATGTGTCGCCCTTCAGACCGGAGGAGGACGATCAGCCGTGCACACCTGAGAGACCCGCGGCAGGTAAGAACGCCAAACGTTTTCCTCTGTTTCACTTCATTCTGCTGTGAAAATGTTCACCTAATGTTTCACCTTTAGAATAACTTTTATTATCTGTAACTCTATGAGCTGTTGATTGAAAAAAACCAAAAAAACCTGCTAGAAAACCTGCTCGTCTTGCTTCTCTGTATTGTTTTAATATTATAAGGTGTTATATTTATACTTCGTTATTTTTAGCGTCATTATATTAATATTATTTTTAAAAATATTTTAGTTTAACTATCATCAGTTTATTTTAATTGTTTGTTTTTTAAAATTATTTTTATTTATCTTATTATCTTAACTTCCCATTTTGCCTTATGTCAAGCTTGATTCATAAAATAACAAAAAAATAAATTAAAAAAACGCTCGCTCATAAGGAATCCTCAAACGTGGCTGATTTTTATGCATATTTTTGTATTTTTTTCCACCACTTGTGTTAAATTATTTAGTTAACTTTAGCTCTATTAGTCAGGCCGGTCTTCTTAAATGATATCACTGAAGGCTTTTAAAATATACTGTAGTCGGGTCATTTTCTATTTTATATCTTTTTTTCTTTTTGCTGCGTTTTAATCCTTAATATTTAAATTGGTCTTTAAAATATTTTATTCAGGTTACTCTCTATTATTATGAATTATATTGTAGCATTTTGTTTTGTAATTTGCTCCTTCATCGGGTTTTAATCCTTAATATTTGAATTAATCTGGTAGATTCATATAAACAGGGAACACTTTAGGGTCTTGGCGTCGATATTTAAACTTAATTTAACTGCCAGTTTTCTAATTCTACTGGAAAGAAAAGTCAGTTTGGTACAAAAATCCCAAATAAATAACGTTGACTTTTGTTGGTATATTCTCTAAATAACTGAGCTCAGTGGAGTTTATTTGCTTATTTCTTGGTAAATGTGGAAAGCGTTCCTCTTCAACCCTTCAGAGCGTCTTTATCCAGCGTCTGTTGACATCGTTCTACTGGATGTAAATACTGTCGTCTGAACCCGGTTAGTCGCTGCATGTTCTGGACTCTATCTGGAGCGATTAGCAATAGACGTTGCACAATTCCCGTTGACTTTGAACTCCGGTCGTCGTGGAGACGGGCCTTCTTCAGGAGCCTGGTGTTGCGTAATGATTCCTGATGTGGTGGATCTTGAGGATCTTGAGGATCTCTTCCCTCCGTTTCCAGGCCCTGCACCATGGACTTCATCCTGCAGCTGCTGTTCAGCCCGCTGCCCACGCCGGCCATCGTCTCCCTGCTGGCTCTGGCTGCGGCGACCCTGTTTTACCTCAACTCTCGGCCCAGTCCGGTCCGGAGCCCCACCGACCTCAACTGCCAAACTCTGGGCATCAAGGTAAACACCGCCGAGGCGACCACAGGTGTTAGTGATGGAAGTTAGTTTAGATGCAACTAATAAAAGAGCAGTTTTATGGAGGTTCAAAGCTACGACGAGGTTTTTCTCGATGAAAGGCGACTGGACGTCTCTTTGAGGTTCTTCTTGGCGACGTCCTGTTGCGTCCTACTGAAGCTCCTAGGCTTACTATGACCTGGATGACTGAGAATCTAGAGAAATCGCTGCCGTTTGACCTCCTCAGGATGGTGCCAGGAAGACCGCTCTGATGCAGGACAACAACAACCTGATTTCGTACGCCTACGAAGAGGCCAAGACGCTCTACGAGGTCTTTCAGAGGGGCGTGAGGGTTTCAGGTAATAAAAACACTGGTTACCGTCACTAATTGGCAGCTTTTAAAGCATGGACTGTTCATAAGGAGATAAAAATGACGTTTTTTGAACGACAGAAAGCAAAGGGAGGTTATTTTTAATACGTTTCTTGACAAAAGTTTGTGTTTTTAGTTTTGCATTTTGTCAAAACTATCAATAACATTAATATATTAACTTGAATGGAAGGAAAACATCTTCTGCTATGTTGTGTCAAAACACCAGCTTAGTAGCTTCCACTCAACACATTTTATGCTTCTTCATCTGCTTGACTTATCTCTTAAGCTAACGATTACTATCCAACCATCTCCTTTGTCTTGGTTTCCAGATATAAGATCTAATTCTCAGCACATCCATTCGTAGAATCACTAACTCTGCTGGTTTGGAGGCAGAGTTTTGGTGGTTCTGGCTGCTCCAAATACCGACTTTCTCCAAAAATGAGTTAAGATTTGCCATTTACAGCAGCCACAGCCTTGATTTATGGAAAACTTTAAGCCTTAATGCAGTTTAAACAAGTGAGTTATATGAAACCTCTGTACAGTGTCCATGAATGTAAAAATTGACTATAGAGACCAAAGCTGTTTCTGTACAAGGCTGTTTACTTCATGCCGTAAACGTGGAGCTCTGTGGGGGTTGACTCACCTTCAGAGGTCATTTGAGGAACTGCAGTTTTTAACTTAGTTGTTCTGCTTGGTCCTGATGCCACCAGCCTCTGTTTGGATGTGAATTTAATTTGCACGTCACAGGCATGAATTAACACAAAGAGAAAACTCTGTGAGTAGAACACAGAATGTTGGCTTTAGCGTTTGTTTGGTTGTTTACATTTTCACATCTTCTAGATGACTGTCGATGGTGTTGGTTGCTTTTGTCACAGACGAGATTCAGGCTTAAAATATTCCGATTTTAAGCTTAGATTTGATTTTTTTTTTCCCCACAACACAGACGAGGGGTCAAAGACCGTCGGAAAGCTGAAAATCCACTTGTTTTCCTGTTTTTTTAAGTTTGGGTTCTAAAAAATTAAGACATTTTTAAAAATTTAGTCGTTGGGTCGACGCCACCTCCTTCAGTAGAACCCGTTGGAGCGCTGAAGTCGACCAAACAGATGTTGTGAGATGTTAACTCAGAACTGGAGGCCATGGAGCCCTGGAGTTTGACCTTTTTATGGAGGAGCTGCTCCAACTCGCTGCTGAAGACTGACCTTCTGCTCTTTGGCCCATATTTCCGTTGGAGTTGACACCCTGACTTCATGTTTATTGGGCTCTAACCTTGAACTCCCATTATCTTATTGTGTTCCTTGGTTCAGATTTGTCATTTGATGGTGTTTTATTGTCTCCTGCATCACAGCTTTTATTTCTAACTCGGCTTCATGAACACATTTGACAGATGACGGCGCTGAACTCAAGCCGATGACCTAAAACTGATATTTTCATCATTTAAATAATAAAAGTGCAGCACATTTATGACACCTTCAAATCCTTTTATTCGTATTTATATCTCTGTGTGTTTTATCGATGGACAACCTCCTGTAGCACAGATTTATTTAACATTTGACTTTTGACATATTTGGACCAACAAACACTTAAAAATAACACAAATCAGTCACGTTCAAACCTTTTTAATTGCTATTTTTCTTTCTTTTTTAAAGTGTTTTGTTGCCTCCTACAGCACAGAATTAACTCTAATTTTTAACCATACTTTATAAATAAATGTGACTTTTTGACATCTTTGGACAAGCAGACATTGTGTTATGTTTGAAATAACACCATAAAGATAAATGAGCGAACACAGTCAGTCGGTGAACGACGATATGATGGTTTAAAATCTTCTTTTTCTTGTTCTATTGTTTTTATTTAATAATGTCTTTTATTCCGTGGGTTTTATTGTGTTTGTGGCCTGCAGTTTTAAATATTTGGTTCAACCCTGTTTTTAAATTTGATCTAAATGTACTTCTGTGGTTCTCCATGACTACAAGCGTTGGTTGTTTGTGTTCCCAGGTAACGGACCTTGTCTGGGCCACAGGAAACCAGGAAAACCGTACCAGTGGCTCAAGTACCGACAGGTGAACCAGCAGCAGCGTCTTTAAACTGACTTTAAACGTGAATACCAGCTGATTCTAACTCCTCTCTGCATCCTTAAAGGTGTCGGACCGGGCCGAGCATCTGGGATCAGCGCTCCTCCACCGGGGCCTGAAGCCAAACTCGGACTCTTTCATCGGCATCTTTGCTCAGAACCGACCTGAGGTGAGTGTTTGGTTTGGTGCAGATGATTTCCGGTGGAGGTTGTGGTGTTGTAGCTGTGCTGTGTGTCTGCTCAGTGGATCATCAGCGAGCTGGCGTGCTACACCTTCTCCATGGTGGCGGTTCCTCTGTACGACACTCTGGGTCCGGACGCGCTCGTCTTCATTATCGACCGAGGTAATTGGAGCTTCTCTTCTTCTAATGCTGCTAATGACCGAGTCCAGGAGCTCGCTGATCCCCGCTGGGACCTGCTGGCTTTAATCTCCTCTCACGTATTTATCGACCTGAACCGACCTGAGCTTCGGTTTGCGTCGGATCACTTCTGTAGAGAGAAAACGACGACTGTAGAAACCCTCTGAACCCAGATTCTCTGATCACATCCTCACCTCGATGGAAACAGAACAGCTTAGCAAAGTTTTATTGCATAAACTTTAAAAAGAAAGGGAAAAAAACAACAATTGTATTCATGTCAACACTTTTCCAACAGATGTTACCAACACTGGACAAAACAAAAAGAAGCTCCACACAATATAGATATTTAACTATTTCCATTTTCACAGCCTTAAACTCTGCTCTGCTCATCAGCTCTATAAAGATGTCTCACCAACAACTGGCTGCTCTGTTCACTGGTTCTGAGCCGTGCTGCATTTATTTTTTAGTTTTTATGACCCTCTCAGTCTCTAGTTTTACTTCCTGTCTGCTCTGTGGAAACACTGCCTGCAGTTCAAATGATGACATGAGTCCCTGAATCATTTTTTTGTTGTAGTTTTTGGTGCAGGCGGTTTATTGTTTACTGTTTAAATCAGAGGGGAAAAAGATAAGCAGGACTTTAATTTTACTTTTTAAAAAAATGTATTTTCCCAACGCAGCTACACATCACAGAACAATTAGCTCAAGAGCAGCCGGAAAGTTTAAAATCCAACTTTTTTTTTTTCTGCTTTTACAGTTTCTTGCTCTGAATGATGTCAATTGACGGATTTTATTTAATTTTATTTTATTTCCCCAGAAGTCATTATTTAGTTCCTTCTCTGTCTCTACAGGGAGGAGTGGGTCGCTGAGATGTTAAGGTTGGATATTTTGGGATGCCACTGTTTTAAAAACAAAACCACAACACTGTATTCTACTTATTTACAATGTACACATAATTAAACATTTAGTAATATTTAAAAAAACAGCAACAAAAAAACCCTGGAGTCAACATATCCAGCATGTGTACCAGTGTTCCCAGGTGTTACCAACAACTATGAAATAAAATGCTGGCTCCAAATGCTACAGGTAATTAGCTATTTAGATTTTAAAAGCGACCAGTAGATTAATGTGATTCTGATTAAATGTCATGATTTTAAGTTTAGATTTGGTGAAATGTTCTGACGGAACGACACATAAAGTCAGTCATAGTTTTATTTTCCCCTCAAGTGAACACACCTTTAAACCAGTGGAGGGTTTTGGGTTCAGACGGTTAAATGCTGCTGCTTTTGTCTCATTCTTCCTGTTTTTATTCCCTGAATATGAACTCACAGATCAGAAACTTTATCATTTAAACACAACTCTTCCGTCTGTTTCCCCGTTAATCCAGCTCAAGTCTTCCTGTTCTTTCAGCCGACATCTCCACGGTGATTTGCGACAACCAGAACAAAGCGGAGACGCTGCTGCAGAACCGGGAGAACGGCCAAACGCCGGTCCTCAAAACCATCGTCATCATGGACGCCTTCGGCTCCGAGCTGGTCGACCGAGGGGCCAAGTGTGGCGTCGACATCGTGTCCATGCAGGACATGGAGGTAAAGCGCCGTCGCTGGTGTTCATGAGCTGCAGAGCAAACGGTGGGTTTTCTGCTGATGCTGGACGTGACTGAGAGCAGCTTTTGTTTTGTCCTGCAGGCTCTGGGGAAAAGCAACCTGCACAAGCCTGTTGTAAGTTCCTGATGAAGTCACAGAATGAAACTCTGGTGATAAGAAGCTGCCCGTCGTTCTGATGGAATGATTTTATTTGTTCAACAGCCACCAAAACCAGAAGACATCAGCATCATCTGCTTCACCAGCGGGACCACAGGTGATGATTCAGCAGATTTATTTCATCGTGTCGGTTTATAAATCCTAAAAGAATCAAAGAAAACAAGCAATTTCACTAAAAACAATGATTGGCTCCAGTATACAGCATTGTGCAGATTATTGGTAGTAGTTTATGTTTGAGCTTCACAGATTCTTACTAAAATGGATTTATTTGAAAATGCACTCGTCTTGTATTCTACATGTCCTGGCCTGGCAGCGTGAAAAGTCACTTTGTGTATCTTATGTGGCGTCGTGACCCCTGAACACTGACCTTTATATGTTTTTTTAATGCAGTAAAATGATGTGAAAAGCTTAAAAATCACAGACATGACACAAGAGATGTGCCCGAAAAGATCTTTTACTTTATTCTTGATTCTTTATTTGGATCCCCATTAGCTTCCACAAGGTGGTTGCTTGTCCTTCTGGGGTCCGTTCACAACACAACAGTAAAAATACATCAATTTAAAATCACAGAATATCAGTGAGACAACATAATTTCATATCAACCCAAAGTTAAGACAAGAAAAGTTTTGAAAAAAAAAAAAAATCTCACAGCACAGAGGAAAGAAAATAAAAATGTTCCCGAACTGCCGTGACAACGTTTACATGTGATTACGACATAAAAATCACAACAAGTGCATTTCATTGAAGTTTTGTGTTGGATTTTTCTAAATTTTTAAAACCATGAATTTAAATTTTCTGGGGTTTATTAACTGAAGTCAATGTGTTCCTGCAGAACATCATATTAATGCTGTTACTGCTGCATAAAGACAGATGTGTTCTGCTGCCCAGCCTTCAATAAGCGGACATCTGGGGCAATTTTAATCATTTTAAGAAACAACAACGTCGACTTTTTCCACTTAAAAATACAGATTTAATGAGTAGAATCTTGTTACGTGTATTTAACTGCATTTTATGAACCGTTTATGCTTTTATTAGACTGTTTGTCGGTTTATATATACATATATATAGTTAGATTTGCATGAAAAACACCTTCAGACAAATGGGCTGCAGATGGAAAAGTAACTCTGAACACTGGTGAATGTACACTGTCCTTTTTTAAATAAATAAACTGAACTGAAAGCAAATCACATTGAAAAAGAAGCACAATAATGCATCAGTTCTTACAATTTGCTGCATAAAAATCTGCTGAAATCATTTGTACATTTCCAAACGACACTCACATTTTGTTTTGTTTTTTTTATTCACTTTGGTCTCATTTTTTTAAAGTAGTTGTTGTGGCTCATCTGCTTCATTTTTTACTGATAATTATCAAGAATCCAGGCAAATTATTAATCGTCCGCCAGTTGTTTGGGAGCAAATTTAAAATCATGAGCAGAAATTGAATTTGTGAGTCTTTTAAAGGTTGAATATTTTTGATTTCTTTGTCAGGAAACCCCAAAGGAGCCATATTGACGCACGAGAACGTCGTCTCCAATGCTGCCGGCGTCCTCAAATGCATTGAGGTTTGTGTGGTTTTTAAACTGGATCCTGTTCCTGTTTTTGAAACATCTGAAATCCTTTAACGGATCTTCTGTTGGCTCCCCAGGCGTCCCTCGTCCCAAACACCCAGGACGTCAGCATCTCCTTCCTGCCTTTGGCGCACGTGTTTGAGAGAGTCGTGCAGGTGACGTCCAGCTGGGATCGGGTGGTTCAGGGTCTTTGTGAGGTTGTGCGTCTTTGGTGACTTGTTGTGTTGCGTTGTGCAGACGGTGGTGTACGGATGTGGAGCCAGGGTGGGGTTCTTCCAGGGCGACATCCGGCTGCTGCCGGACGACATGAAGACCCTTCAGCCCACCATCTTCCCGGTCGTTCCTCGACTCCTCAACCGGGTCTACGACAGAGTGAGAGATCCGATTCCTGCTCTCACCGCCAACCAAAGAGCTTCTGGTTTCGATTTTCTGTTCATTTTTTTGTGTGTGTCCAGGTTCAGAGCGGCGCCGCGACGCCTTTCAAGAAATGGCTGCTGAACTTTGCAGTGGAGAGAAAGTACGCAGAGGTGAAGGACGGCATCATCAGGAAGAACAGCATCTGGGACAAACTCATCTTCCACAAAGTCCAGGTGGAGTTTCAGTCTTAACCAACACACTGCATGTTGTAGAAACACTTTCATTAAAGGCTGAAAGGTTTGGTTTTGGCTGCAGGAGTCTGTGGGAGGTCGCGTTCGGATGATGGTGACGGGAGCAGCACCGGTATCTCCGTCTGTTCTCAACTTCCTCAGAGCCGCTCTGGGTTGCCAGGTAAGAAAAAATCCTCCCAGTGCAGAACCTCACAGGTTCTTCTGAATCCAGGTGACCCCCAGATTCATTCATATTGGAGCCAACTTTGGATTTATGGTGAATTTTTAATCCACCAACTGGTTTCTTCTGGCTGGAAACAAACAAATAATGACTGTGAGATGGAATTTCAACTCTTCTATGGATATTTTTGTATGTTTACTAAAAATGCGACATCCAAAATTATTCATACGACTGGAAACTGACGGTTTTAGACCGTTTCTACCATGTTCTAGAGTGTTCTAGTACACTGTGGTAGATCTGTACTTGGTTACTTGGACATCATGGGTAAAACCACAAAACTTTGTGAGTTGCTATAGTTGCACGTTTTGGCTGCACATGAGAGCGTAAAAAACGACGAAGTCAAGTCAAAGTGTTTTCAAGGTTTCAGTGGCACAACTAGATGGATATATGGATACTTTCTGCGTCTCCTCTGGGAAATTCAAGGTGTCCAGCAGCTCACACATGGTGCATTTAAGACAAATAAGGAAACCACAGTGCAAACGAACGTGCTGGTCGAAGACAAAAGGTGCAAAGCTTACTGGTTTTTACAGTAAAGGTGCAAAATTGCAGGTATATACGATTGGGTTCTTGGTGAACTCAAATTATTGGGTTCCACACTGTGAAGAATCTCAAAGGGCTGGTAGGAAGACAGAAGTGACCCAATAAGAATCCAGGAAACCAACATCATCCTGATGAATGTGAGCAGTTCTGGTAGCAACATGTCAACCAGACCCTGAACAACGATGGACTCCATGAAGACCAACGAGGACTAAACTTCTACAAGACGCAGAAGAAAGCTGCTGATCATCAGTTCTGTGGATCGGATGAAAATCAAAGAAAGGAGAAGTTTTAAACCCCAAGAACTCCATCGACACGGTCAAACATGGAGAAAATGTGATGCTTTGGAGGAGTTATTCAGCCTCGTCAAAGTACAACAGCGTCATGAGACATTCGGATTGTGGAGGAAAGCCTCAGACAGTCTGCAGGAACACGTCCAACAAGATCTGAAACTTTTAACCAAAGTGTTGAAGAACTGGTGAAGAGGAAACAAGATGGAGATGTTGGAGTCCAGAATCTGTGGAGGAACCTGAACATTTAGGGCCCGTTTACACGTAGCAAAAACGGTGATATTTCAATGTGTTTGGGTCTTTGGTTTACACGAAGCTACAAGCCAGTGAAAACGATCATATCGGAAAACTCCGGCCAAAGTGGAGATTTGGAAAAACTCTGTCTTTATGTTTGCACGCAGAGTTTGACGTCACAGTGAGCGACTAAAGCGTCATCAGCGTCACATGTGTGCGACCATGTTTACAGTTCGGCTGCTGTGATAGAAATCAAGTGTTTTACTCGTTTTATACTCTAACACCACATTCAGGAGCAGCTCCACTTCCCTGTCGATCCAAACAAACAACTCTCACGCCGTTATCGTTGAAGTAACAGGAAGTCAATCGTGCCATTTGTTGTTGTGTTTTTCCAGGAGTCTGATTGGCTAGCATGGCTTTCTCGTTACACTGCCCCCTGTGGGTTTGGCAGCTCATAGCAGCTCTTAACAACGCGTTTATGTGGGTTTGTGTAAACGAAGATTTTTTAAAAATGGTCTGTGTGAACAATGTTATTTTTGAAAACGTAGATCCGTTTTTGTGAATACCAGCTACGTGTAAACGTGGCCTTAACCTTAAAAAGCTGCAGATCATCGCAAAGAGGAACAAAATCCCAGTAAAGACATGAAGAAAGACTGTTGGTGATCGTAAGAACTGTAGAGGGACCATAAGAACAGTTCAAATGGGTCATTAACATCTCCAACACAACGGCTAAAGGTGTCTTTTTTTCTCCAGAAGAATCCTCTCTGAACCACTTTTAATCAACATTTTTCCATGTTCATCAATAATTTGGGGTTTAACTGTAGAAACATGCAATTAAATGATGTTTATTTGACCTTTAGGGGTTATACGTGCTCACCTCGCCAGAATTATCCCTTAAAACTAGATTCAGTTCACTAAATGAAGGATTTCCTGGGTTCTAAGTTGCATTTCTGGTTTCTGAAGCAGCCGTGTACAACGCTGTGCTCTCTGAGGGGCAACAAAAGGACCCAGATCCAGTTTTAATGCTTGTGTCTGTAGAGGGAAGCTTGATGTTGCTCTGGTTTCACTGGTTCTCGTAGATCTTCGAGGCGTACGGTCAGACAGAGTGTACCGCCGGCTGCACCTTCACGATGCCTGGAGACGCCACCTCAGGTACGCACCGGCCTCCTCACCGGTCACAGGGCTTTTATTGAGAAACTATGCAGATGATTCAGGAGAAACTTTAACGGCACAGTTTGTCCTCGAAATGCCCTGAAAGGATCTTTATTTCTTTCCTTCAGGTCACGTCGGGGTGCCTCTGCCGTGCAACTTTGTCAAGCTGGTGGACGTTGAAGAAATGAACTACTTTGCTTCAAACGGCGAAGGAGAGGTGAGTTCATGAAAAGTCTGGGTGGAGTTTAAATTCTGCAGGACTGACTGATGCTCAGTGGAACCAGAATAGACAGGAATCAAACATGTGACTGGAGATTCGGTGGGACTAAAGTAAATAAAAAGGAATGAATCCACTTGGAAATCTGGATTTACAACACCGTGTTGTTGTTGTTGTTGTATGTTGGTAAAGTTTCCCGAGTGGTGGAAGAACTCATCTGACTGATACTTAAGTAGAAGCACCAGCAGTTAAAAAATACTTTATTACTGTGTCCAAATTCATATTTAAGTAGTACAAAAAGTATCAGCATTGGCATATATGGTTAAATAAAAGCATTTATTAAGGAGACTGGCTCGTTTCAGATTAATGTCTTAATGGTATATTAACGGATTTTAATTATTACTGCGTTAATGTGTTTTAATGTTTAAAACTGAAGCAGATTTTGCGTCAAGATCCAAAACTCTTCACCTTCATGTAAAAACAAGGCGTCGCTTTGGGGTTTTCCAACAGAAATACATCAAGATTTATTAATTATTCATGTTTTTTAAATTATAAATCCGAATCTACGGCATAATTAAAGCTATCGAATAAATGTCGGGGGATGAAAAGTGCAGTAACTGTAGAATAAAGTCAGAGAAAATGGAAATACTCGAAGTGTCGAGTGCCAAAACCTATCTACAGTACTTAAGGAAATGTATTTACACCACTGGTTTCCCTTTTGTGTTGAAATAAAATGTATTTAATGGTCTACTGATGTCATTTTCTGTCACTGTTTCATGTTTCTTCTTTGTCCAGGTCTGCATTAAAGGCAGAAACGTGTTCAAAGGATACCTGAAGGACTCCGAGAAAACCGCCGAGGCTCTGGACGGAGACGGTTGGCTTCACACCGGAGACATCGGGAAGTGGCTTCCGGTAAGAAACCTTCCCCAGAACACGTAAATCATTTAAAGGTTTATTCTTGAACACAGACGGAACAAACAGAACCACAGACTCTCCTGGACGAAACCCTTTAGGTTCAGTGTTTGAGTAAAAACGCGATGAAGCGTTTTAGCGTCTCTGAAACTCATCGTTTTTAATCTTTCGTAAACTGATGTTGCTGCAGTTCGGACATTTCTCAGAAGTTCTTTACCAAAAAAAGAAAGGCCACAAATGCTTCATAAGACACTGAATTACACAAATAATGAGAACTCAAACAAGAAGAAAAACAAGATCTCAAACCAGCAAGTATTCATCAAAGCACCTTCCAGTAAAAGTAACCTAATGAGTGTAAATACTGGGTTTAAGACCACATGGTGTCATCTTACTGGAGTATTTTACATATTAAAGGCACTGAAATCCTACAGACGTTCTATGAAATTCTACTTTTCATTTGCTTGTTGAGTTAATTGAGATGTTTGATTGCCTTTTGAAGATCTCGTCCAAACAAGTACGACTCTTTATGGAGCTAGAAACCTTTTATCTCCACGTTTCTGCTCCTTCATACGTCTCCACAGTTTACAGGCACATGTTGTGCTTTTTACTCCACTAGACTTATTCAATGACTTTAGTTTAATAAAACAAAATCTAATAAACAAATTAAGATACTTTATTATAGATGAAGATGAATCTTTAAGTAGTTAAACCACATGAGTCACAATCCAGTGATTTAATAATCCACTTTATTGTGAAACGGGCCTTTCTGCGTATCCACTACTTTGACTTTTGGTACTTTCACTATATTTTGATGCTAATACTTAAATGCTAATAGATTTAAATGAGTCTTAGGAGTATTGCTACACTGTGGTGTTTGTGGTACTTTTACTTCAGATCTGATATCACCTACAGTCTTTATGCTAAGCTAAGCTAACCTGCTGCTAACTGTAGCTTCATATTTGAGGGTCATGAATCCTCTCAAACAGCCGTCAGAACAAAACCCACTCGATCTTATCACATTTATCTGCTCACTTCAAGCTTCATAATGCTGATTTTGCAGCACATTGATCCCTCTTATTTACACTTTTTTTTTCCCCCCTGCGTCAGAGCGGAGTTCTGAAGATCATCGACCGTAAGAAGAACATCTTCAAGCTGGCTCAGGGGGAGTACATCGCTCCGGAGAAGATCGAGAACGTCTACGTACGCAGCGGACCGGTGGCCCAGGTGTTCGTCCACGGAGACAGTCTGCAGGTACCGACAGCGTCTTTACGTCGTGTGTTTTTGGACGGGAAACGGAGTAAACTGTGATAATCGGAACGCTTCCCTCTGCAGTCCTGCCTGGTTGGCGTCGTGGTTCCCGACCCCGAAGTCCTGCCGGGTTTCGCCAAAGACCTCGGCTGCCACGGCTCCATCGAAGAACTCTGCAAGAAAACAGTAATACTTCTGATTCCTACAGAAATGTGCAAAACAAACTGACTTTGGGCCGTTTTGTTTTCTGTTGAAGCTCCGGCAAAGAAATACGTGAAGGAAACATGATCATTAACGCTCACAAAGCTCACGTCTGCAAATCAGATTTAATTATACTGCAGCAGTCCTGAGATGTTTGCTGAAAACTCCTTAGCTAGAGATGTTTCTAACGGCTGATTTGTTGTTTTTTTGTTTGTTTGCAGGAAGTTAAGAAGGCCATTCTTACAGAAATAACCAAACTGGGAAGGGAAGCTGGACTCAAGTCCTTCGAGCAGGTAAAGACTCCTCCTGAAAGTCTTCGGTGACTCAGCAGCACCTCCTCGCTTCCAGTTCAACCGTTTAAACCTCAAAACCTGAAATGCACGTAACCAAAGTTGCTGTAGCGGCAAAAACTGGAGGAGTTGTTGGATTTTCAACTTTCTGAGGGTCCTCGAATGCATCTTGATGTGCTGTTATGTCGGGAAACTTCAACTCTACGGTTAAAATCTCAATATTTCTTGGTAAACACTTCATTCTACATGTTTCGTTCAAAAAGTCACCGGGAAAAAAAAAATACAAAAATGCACCAAAATTGACTTCTCGTCTCAGTTGAGAAGCCGTTACTGACTCAGCTGATGGTTAAACAGAACACAATCTGACTTCTCGGCTGAACTGCAGGCGGTGTTTCCACAGACAGATAAGAGACACGTAGGAAAGCAAATTTAAGAGACTGAGAGGAAACAAAACACACCGGACGGATCAACAAAACAAATGCAGCTCAGAAACAGTGAGCAGAGGAGCAAGTTGTTGAAGACACACTCCTGGTGAAACATCTTTCTACAGCCAAACGTATGAAAGCTGTTCACAGGAACTTCAGTGACAAAATGACTTGAACTTGACCGAAAATGATTGAAAGAATTGTATAAAATGGATTAAAATGTTGTCCAAGAAGAAATAAAACTTACTAGAAATGATCACAAGAGGAAAATAAGACCTACTGGATCAATAAATAAATGCAGCATGGCTCAGAACCAGTGAACAGAGGAGCCAGTTGTTGGAAGATCCATTCAGCTGATGGTGGAACATCTGTCAGATGGGCAGTTTGTAGAGGTTTAAAACTGTAAATAGTTTAATATCGACAGCACGTAGAGCCACTGTTTTTATTCCAATGAGGGTAACAGCTGAGGGCACTGAGGGAAAAATCTGCTTTTTTCCACATTTTTATGGAATTATAACTTTAGAATATTACACAGAATATATTTGCACTCGCTCTCCTTCTAGTCCTGGTTGATCTGTTTCTAAAGAGGTTCAGGATTTTATGTTGCAGAGAAACATGAGTCTACAGCGAGTAAAAATGCAACAGGAGCTAAAAAGGCAAAAAGAAATTCATCAAATCAAGCAAATGTCGTTTTTTCCCTCCGTAGGTTTCTGAACATCTGCTCTGTTAGAACTGAGTCTCATCAATGTTTAAGAGTCACTTTACTTCAGTGACATCCGAATCAATGTTTCCTGCTGCTGCACGTTTTACCATTCGCCCTCTAGTGGTTAAAATGTGCATTACTTCACACTTCCTCCCATTTACAGTCGTCCTCAACTGTATTCGTCTCCTTCCATTAAAGAAGAGGCAGAAGTCACAACAGTCACTCAAATAACCAGAAACTGAAAATAATAATAATAAATAAAAATTTGCTAAAATATAATTTTGTGAAATAAGACATTGCTTTTGAATTGTGGTTGAAAATTTTTTTTTAAAAAAACAAAAAAACCCCGAAAACTGTCCTGGACAAATGAGAGCACTTTGCTGATGAGCAGTGAAATCTAAACACCTGTCAACAGGTGCAGAAGTCTGATGGAGAGTTAAAGAAAACGCCTGATGATGGCAGTGATTGGCTCAAAGGGTTGTTCAACTACGTATTAGTTTATGGGTCCCATCATGCTGGGTGCTTGTTGTTTTGTTTTTTTGAACCACAATTCAAAATCAAAATCATGAATTTCATAATTTTTTTTTATTTATTATTACTTTTGTCAATTTCAACTTATTTCAGTGACTGAAGCTGTTTGTTTCCGTTTTTAATGGGAGGCTATGAATACATCTGAGGACGACTGTACACCCAAAGTCTGATTGTCTTTTCCTAAGAGGACGAGAGGAAGTCAAACACTGGTTAAACTGGGCCTATAATGGTCTCTTGTTGTTCCCTCGTTGCTCTGGTGCAGGTGAAGGACGTCTACCTCCACCCGGACATGTTCTCCATCGAGAACGGCCTGTTGACTCCGACGCTGAAGGCCAAGAGAGCCGAACTCAAAGCTCTGTTCCAGCCGCAGATCGACAAGCTTTACGCCAGCATCCAGTAAACACAATAAACCCACAGCAGCTCATCCACGGTGGTCTTTGTGTGTGTTTTCTTTCCTGCAGCCTCCTTCCTCCACGGTAGAACAGTTGGAAATATCTTGGTGATTGGTTGCATCCTGACGGACTGAATCATCCTCTAGAGTTCTGCTGTACTTCACAAATACTTCAACTTGCTGCAGTATTCACTCTATTGTGCTGCGTATTCAAACCAGAATCCTGCAGTCGTTTAGTTTTGCATCGAGAAGATGGAGCGAGGAAGCACCTGTGCACCCTCTGGTTAATCTCCATGATTAAAACGCTGTCGGGTCTTAGCTGTGATATTTATGTCAGTTATGTTCTGTCATTTATACCATCGTAGAGTCTATATTATATTAGCTAGGTTAATCTCCATTATGAATACATCTGTAGGGCCTTCATATGGATTATAGTCGGGTAAAATAGTACTTTTATAGCATTTGTGTTGGGTTTCAATCCCTAACATGGAAATAAGTCAAATACAATCACACCATAAACGACACTGTAGGGTTTTAATACGTGTTAGAGCTGAACAAAGGCATATTTTATATTGTTTTTGCTGGTTTTTAGTCTTTAATATGTCAATTGTTCAGGCAAAATAACTCGACGGGGTTTTCAGCACAATATTTACCCTTATTGGATTAATTAATAGCAACAGTTGTAATCTTTGGTGACTAATAATAAAAACAAATTACTTTTATCTCTTCAAGATGCATTTTAGGAACAAACTCCCCTGAGATGATGCACAAAGATTTATTTCCGAGTCTTGGGTAGGACGATGGAGGAGACAATGAGGCTTAAAGAAAACTCAGTGCCAATTAAAACTCAACACTTCGGCAGTTAAAATGTAAGTATTCATATTTAAAGTGACTCAGATTGTCCAAAATGATGAAAATGGTTCAAAATATGTCCAAAGTGATGTTAGCTTCTCAAAATTATTAAAAAAATGGGTCTCAAATGGCTTGAAATTTGTCTAAAAATGCTGAAAAAGGCTCAAAGTGTTTCTAAAGTGACTTCAACTTGTCAGAAATATTGAAAATA